TGTCTCAAATATTTAGTTCGTGTTCGATTTTCATGGCTGTGTGGTATTTGTGCTGCTATGAGTTATGCCAGGCGTGAATTGCAATTTAAGTGAGTTTACCCCTAAAAAAAAGAAAGCATGGGAATGGCGACGGCGAAAAGAAAACGAGGCTATTCTTTTCCTGAAACGTTTCTTTCTTTCATTTCATTTATCTTTCCTTATTACTTTTTTCCTCTACCACGATACACCTTTCTTTATTTTCCCACTTTCATATCACCCCGTTCCGTAATATCCTTCCGCGGAGATACATTTCCAATCTTTGAAATACGTTTTGAGACACTCGGAAATTCCAAGCATTTCTCACTGGATGTCCAGCCCTACAAATCCGTTATTTTTATAAAATGACGTAATAACATTCGATTTTTCCAGCATAACGAGACGTAGGAACAAAGATGAGTCATGGTACAGGAAGAAGAAACAGGGCGGAAGGTTATTGCGTGGCATGAGTGTGAAACGAGTGGTTTTAATGTTAAATGTGAGGTTTAAGTAAAGCTGTGCCTCATTCTGGGATAGTGTGTGAGGTGAGTCAGACACGGAGCGAGGAAGGAGGGTGTGAGTCGTGTATGTTTAAGGGTGGGGTGAGGTTAGAGGTTGGTGGAGAGGAGGAGAAGGAGGGTGTTTTAGCTGAGGTGAGATAGGGTGAGCTGGGCAGCAGCAGTAGGATGAGGTTAGGCATGAGTCACGCCGCTGATTCAGGCTGGGTGAGTCAGAAGGCGCGGCAGATAATGGGAATTAGAATGTACTCGCGTCGACGTAGATAACTGACTGACCCGTCATAATTGTGGTGGAAAAAAAATGGGTTTATCTGTTTACAATTTTATGTAGGGTTTTTTTTTTTTTTTTATCCAGGTGAATGTACAAATACGAATGCACGCTCTCGTAACCGCACACATGCACATTTGTGTATGTTCATATGCAGTAAGGATACATGTGTGTATATGCGTATATATATGATTAATTAAACACATACACATACATATATGTACACACACACACACACACACACACACACACACACACACACCACACACACACACACACATATATATATATATATATATATATATATATATATATGTATGTATATATATTTGTGTGTGTGTGCGGGCGTATGTATGTTATATATATATATATATATATATATATATATATATATATATATATATATATATATATATATATATATACATACATACATACATACATACATACATACACATACACACACACACACACACACACACACATATATATATATATACATATATGTATATATGTACATACATACATACATATATATATATATATATATATATATATATATATATATTCGTACCCACACAACATACATGTTTGTGTGTGTGTGTGTGTGTGTGTGTGTGTGTGTGTGTGTGTGTGTGTGTGTGTGTGTGTGTGTGTGTGTGTGTGTGTGTGTGTGTGGTGTGCGCGCGCGCAGTCATTTTAAACAAGGTAAGGCGAGGTCAAGCCGTGGGGGCCTTAGTCGAGGCCAACAATAAAAAAAAAATATAATAAATCGGTTATGAAATGACGGAGAGACAAAAGAAAATGAAAATAGACCTAGAGCAAAAGAAAAAAATAGTGACAAGAGAAAGAAGAGAGAGAGAGAGAGAGAGAAAAAGAAACACGAGACCGAGAAGGAGAGAAAAAAAGAATTACAGAGAGAAGTGCAGTTGTGTTTCTTTGTGCTTTCCTGGCACCACACTGCCCCCCCCCCCAAGTGTGCCGCAAATAAAACACTCCTTCTCCCCCCTTGGCCCCCTCCCCCCCCTCCCCCCAACTGTGCCACACCTGGCAGCCTCAGCGTGCAGAGTGTGTCCCAACCGTTCCCCCAATTCACACTTGTTTCTTCGACAGGGAGCGAGTGGAAAATAGAATAAGATAAACGCATCAGCTGTCGCCACACGCAGCTCAACTGGAATGATCACGGGTCTAATCGGACAAGTTTGATTTGCAACGGCGAAACACCAGCGATCCGGGAAGCCGAAGTCGAGGGCTAGCGCAACGATCCGAACAGTGACACGTGCGATGGATCTGGAGGAGTGAAGAGACGCCGAAACAAAATAAATATGTATTTATGAGACTAGATTTTTTTTTCACGTGTGTGTCGATTATCCAACATCGCGCTGACGGTTCCTCGGTGGATCTATGAGGAACAAAAGACTCCAAAAAGAGCAGTTGCATAGTGTTATTTCTCGCCCGGCGCTTAACAATTACACACATTAACCTCCACCAATCAAGCAATTAACCGAAACAGCTTGTTGCGAATCGTCAAATCGATCGACAAATAGCAATACCAGCGCTCAGTGGACGGACGACACAAGCCCTCGTCTTGCGAGTGAGTTAACCTGAAAGAGAAAAAGAAAAAAACAAAAACAAAACAATAACCGTGATCGCTTAGGAGAGAAAAAGTAAGCCAAAAACTCAACAAGAACAAAAGAGA